ACGATTTCATTTATACTTTAAACTTTAAATAAGTGGGCAAAATAGAAGAAAAAAAATAAAAACACAGAAGGGTAATAGTCGAAATCAATGAGAAAATCTCACCAGCCAAGTGATTCATAATCTCAAAGAATAATTGTGAATAAGAAACACTAAGTGGAGATGGAAAAGGGAAAAAGAGAAAGAAGGCGAGTCCCACTACCATGCATGGCGACTAGAGCTTATTACCAACATGTAGAAAACTACACGGTATATCTATCAAACATGTCTTTTTGAGTGCATATACATTGTACCATAGACATCGATGTTAGGCGATCTTGTTTACGAGCAAAAAATACTATTCTTCGTGAGGTTTCATTCCCGATTCAGGATTTATACCCTTTGTTGAAATATGACAAAAAGATATCGTGGTCTATTAAACGCTTACAAAATACATTGAAACCACATGCGATCGAGATCGAGGTCCTAGCCGGATTTCCCTGACAGCCCCCATTCATCTTCTTTCAATTTGGTAAGGTATAGATTCGAGAAATATTAACTTGCAACGAATTTATTATCTGTTTCACTCACACGGCAGGATGGTTCCTTTACAATGCATAATCATGAAGACATCGCTAGAAAGAAAAACAGTTTGTGGCATTTCACTAGACTGTTATTAAAATTGTGCCATGCAGCTGCAGGCGCGTACACAGGGGCGGTGTTTTGAGGGTTAACCCCCCCCCCCCCCTCCCCTCAATTTTTTTTTGTTTTTTTTGTTTTTTTGGGGGGGGGGGGGTCAAGGGGGGGGGAGGGGATGTAATGAGTAAAAAAAAAATGTTTATACAAATTAATGATCCTTTACTCCCCCCCCCCCCCCCCCCCCACTGAGCAAATTATCGGTCGACGCAATTTTCTAATTTCTGGGTGCTCACTAAAGTTAAAGATAATCTGAAAGTTTGAGTGAAAACAGATCATTTTTAATGATAACAAATTGGGAAAAACTGATCTGATTGATTCCTTAATTCTCCTCACTATATCATTACAATTTATTGACATTTTACGTATATGTTAATCGTCACAAAGCAATGAACTGGCTCTATATACCATTCCAGGAATTTAAGTGTTGAAAGATATTTTAAAATCTTGTCTTATGTCTTATTTTCATAGAAAACGGTTGGGAAAATTCAAAAATGATTGTGATAATTTACTGTACTAAGACAGGAATCCATAAATATCTTTGTGGTTTGAGAGTTTTTTCAGGATTTTGTGGACGTTAGAAGGTTAGAAGGAATATAATAAGCAACGTTTCATCCAAAATTTACGCATTTTTTCATCAACCTTTTACAATGCTACCGAGTCCCTTCAAAAGGTTCAGTTTCAGTTTAAGTTCAGTTTTCTTTTTCACATTTCACTTTTCGATTTTATTAATAACATTGTATATAAGTCGACGTGGGCAAAATAGAAAGAATTAAAAACACAGAAAGGTAATACTCGAAAAACAATGAAAAAATCTCACCAGCAAGGTATATCATAATCTTAAAAAAGAATAGTGAATAAGGAAATCTTAGTGGAGATGGAGAAGGGAAAAAGAGAAAGAAGGCGATTCCCACTATCATGCATGGCGACTAGGGCTTATTACCAACATGTAGAAAACTACACGGTATATCTATCAAACATGTCTTTTTGAGTGCATATACATTGTACCATAGACATCGATGTTAGGCGATCTTGTTTACGAGCAAAAAATACTATTCTTCGTGAGGTTTCATTCCCGATTCAGGATTTATACCCTTTGTTGAAATATGACAAAAAGATATCGTAGTCTATTAAACGGTTACAATATACATTGAAACCACATGCGATCGAGATCGAGGTCCTAGCCGGATTTCCCTGACAGCCCCCATTCATCTTCTTTCAATTTGGTAAGGTATAGATTCGAGAAATATTAACTTGCAACGAATTTATTATCTGTTTCACTCACACGGCAGGATGGTTCCTTTACAATGCATAATCATGAAGACATCGCTAGAAAGAAAAACAGTTTGTGGCATTTCACTAGACTGTTATGAAAATTGTGCCATGCAGCTGCAGGCGCGTACACAGGGGCGGTGTCTTGAGGGTTAACCCCCCCTCCCCTCAATTTATTTATTTTTTATTTTTTTTTTTTGGGGGGGGGGGGGGGGGTCAAGGGGGGGGGGGGAGGGGATGTAATGAGTAAAAAAAAAATGTTTATACAAATTAATGATCCTTTACTCCCCCCCACCCCCCCCCCCCCCCCCACTGAGCAAATTATCTGTCGAAGCAATTTTCTAATTTCTGGGTGCTCACTAAAATTAAAGATAATCTGAAAGTTTGAGTGAAAACAGATCTTTTTTAATGATAACATTTGGGAAAAACTGATCTGATTGATTCCTTAATTCTCCTCACTATATCATTACAATTTATTGAAATTTTAGGTATATGTTAATCGTCACAAAGCAATGAACTGGCTCTATATACCATTCCAGGAATTTAAGTGTTGAAAGATTTTAAAAATCTTGTCTTATGTCTTATTTTCATAGAAAACGGTTGGGAAAATTCAAAAATGATTGTGATAATTTACTGTACTAAGACAGGAATCCATAAATATCTTTGTGGTTTGAGAGTTTTTTCAGGATTTTGTGGATGTTAGAAGGTAAGAAGGAATATAATAAGCAACGTTTCATCCAAAATTTACGCATTTTTTTCATCAACCTTTTACAATGCTACCGAGTCACTTCAAAAGGTTCAGTTTCAGTTTAAGTTCAGTTTTCTTTTTCACATTTCACTTTTCGATTTTATTAATAACATTGTATATAAGTCGACGTGGGCAAAATAGAGAGAATTAAAAACACAGAAAGGTAATACTCGAAAAACAATGAAAAAATCTCACCAGCAAGGTAAATCATAATCTCAAAAAATAATAGTGAATAAGGAAATCTTAGTGGAGATGGAAAAGGAAAAAAAGAAAAAGAAGGCGTGGCCCACTACAATGCTTGGCGAAAACAGCCTAATATTTACATGTATACTGTATACGTTCAGTGGAGGTCACTACACGGTATATCTTACTTGTCTTTTTGAGTGCAGATACCATAGACATTAATGCCAGGCGACCTTGTTATAAAGTAGGAATTACTATTCTCCGTGAGGTTTCTTTTCTGATTCAGGATCGAGATCGAGGTCCTAGCCGGATTTCCCTGACAGTCCCCGTTCTTTTACTTTCAATTTGGTAAGGTGTAGATTCCAGAAATATTGTCCTGCAAAGAATTTATTATCCGTTTCACTTACTTGGCAGAATGGTTCCTTTACAATTCATAATCATATAAAAGACATCGCTAGAAAGAAGGACAAAAAAACCCTCATATTTCCGCATTCCACTAGACTGTTATTCAAACTGTGTCATGCAGCTGTAATCTCGTCCACGCCAGGCGACCTTGTTATAAAGTAGGAATTACTATTCTCCGTGAGGTTTCTTTTCTGATTCAGGATCGAGATCGAGGTCCTAGCCGGATTCCCTGACAGTCCCCATTCTTTTACTTTCAATTTGGTAAGGTGTAGATTCCAGAAATATTGTCCTGCAAAGAATTTATTATCCGTTTCACTTACTTGGCAGGATGGTTCCTTTACAATTCATAATCATATAAAAGACATCGCTAGAAAGAAGGACAAAAAAACTCATATTTCCGCATTCCACTAGACTGTTATTCAAACTGTGTCATGCAGCTGTAATCTCGTCCACGCCGCTTCTCATAAGAGGAATATACACATAAGAAAAAAAAGTCATTCAAATAACAATTCTATAACCCCCAAAATCATAGTAATCGGGCAAACAACTGTGGTAAAATGAAACTACATATTTTCAGACGTTCTTCTGTTTAAAATAAGCTAAATACCATTTTATATCACAGTCATACTTTTGAAGCACTTCTAACAGTGCCAGAAGGTTTGTGCGTTTATTTGTTTGAAGATGTTTACATATTTATCTACGAAGATGGGTTGTGGTCCATTTGCCACACTCCACCCAGGTGAAGTTATTGGGTACCTGATAGGTAAAGTGCTCGAGCGCTGTAATGGCAGCCGGGCTAAAAAGCCCGGGGTAATAATAAGGCACACCAGGAATGGCAACGTGCGAGACATGCTGTACAAGATTCCATTATAAGGTTCATAAGGTTCATATTTGTTGTCGATTAAGCAATGCAAATTTGTGGTATTTAAATGAAATATGAATACACATATTAACATATACATTCATACAAAAAGATAAATTTGATGCAATAAATTTGAATTTACAGAAAAACAAAACAAAGGAAAATAACTTAACATAGATATAGTTGTGCATCGAAAATAATAAACATGTAAACAAAGTGAGGTGTTTGGTTATAGTTATTTATCACTATTATTATTATTATTATTATTATTATTATTATTATAATTATTATTATTAGTAGTAGTAGTAGTAGCAGCAGTAGAAGTAGAAGTATTACTATTGGTATGATTGTTATTATTATTATCATTATTATTTTTAGTAGTAGTAGTAGTAGTAGTAGTAGTTCATGTAATAGTAATAATATTTTAATTGTTATTATAATCATCATTATTGTGGTTGTTATTACCACCACTGAAATAGTAGTAGTAGTAGAAGTAGTAGTAGTAGTAGTAGTTGTTGTTGTTGTTGTAGTATCAGTATCAGTAGAAGTAGAAGTAGTAGTAGTAGTACTAATAGTAGTAGTAGTAGTAGGAGTAGTAGTAGAAGAAGAAGAAGCATTAATATTGGTATAATGATGATAATTATTATTATTATCAGTAGTAGTAGTACATGTAGTGGTTATTATTACCATTAATCGACATTACTATCATCATTGCCAAGTTACAATCATCATTAACATCGTCCTTATCATCTTTAGCCCCGGCAGAATTACAATAATCATCATTGTCACGTTTCAATGTCACACATTGGAATACATTCGTGTTCACCAGTATAAATCTCGTTATTATTTATTTCCTAGTCCGGCGAAAGATGAAGCCGACGACACAGCAACTGGAAACGACATAATTGAAGACGAGTTCTCAGACATTGATGAGATTCTTAAAGATTATGACTTCCCGTTTGAGAACCTTATTCTCGAAGGCGGCGGCGCCCAGGGAAACGCTTATATTGGCGCCATACAGGTGAGAAATTGTGTTGAAATGTATATTTGTGTTAACCTGTTGTCTGCTGAATTCATTCACTGCCATATGCTTAATACAGGGGTCAACCGGTTCCAGCAGGCAATGGATTCCCAGTTTACTGAGTCATATAGAGTACCTAAGCTGTGACATCATAATAAACAATTTTTTTAAATTTCTCAATTTTTCTTCATTTTTCGAAAGAGCATCAAAAATACTGTCCGAATGTCGAAAACCAATTGAATATGTTAAAGACCGTCAATACTACTGGGCCAGAAGGGATTAAACCACACAGCAAGGTCACTGACAGGTGGCTATCTCATTAACCCAGCTCTCAACTAACATAAGAAAAAGAGGATCATGGGGGACCTACAGGCACCGATTGGGGAAGTTTTCTATATAGAGGGAGCAAGTAGCTACAAGTAGGACAGAGGGGCTTTAAGTATTGGCGGAGATATGACCATCTGAAATAAATAGATGTCCTATAGGAACTCCGTGCTATATTGCTCTGGCTGGTAATGTTATGATTGAGAAATTCCAAAAATAGAATTTTTTTTAATGACGTCGCAATTCACCATTCTATTAGTAATACGAGAAATAGCTACAAATAATGGTATGAGGAATAGTAATAGTAATATCAATGGTTTCTTTTCTTGTCATATGCGTCGGAAAAGCAAAATGTGTCATTAAGACATCTTCTTTTTTGGAAGGAAACTAATTTCATAAAAAAGATGAAATTAGGAAAAGACATCCGAAAAATAACAAAGCGCTAAGAAAAATGACTGTATAGAAGTGTAAAAAGGAGCAGAAAATGATAGAAGTATAAAAGCAGTAGCAGCAACAGCTATAGGAGTAGAAATAGTTGTAGTTGTTATTGATGTGATATGGTATGGTGTTATATCGTATTTATTTTTTAGATAGCTTAAACTGGACAGTACATATAAAATCAAGAATACACTGAATGGCTGGATAGCCCATTCAGCTGTGTTAATAATGACAAAACTATTCTCCCCTGGAGTCCAGAAGATTAAATGAAAAGAAAACTTTAGTGGCAAATATTGAGGACATTTAGTAATAGTAGTAATAGTGGTAGTAATAGCAATAATACTAATAATTATAATGAATATTAATAATAATCATTAACATTATTAGGCTAATACATAATGAAGATAATGATAGTAAGGATAGTGATAATAATAATTAATAATCGTCGTCAAAGTTGTTGTAGTAGTAGCAATAGCTGTAGAAAAATGAGTAATAGATAATTTAGAGGGATAAGGCATTGTTGGTAGGAACAGCATAAATTTTTAACATACAACCATGTACTATTACAGGAGATGGGAAAGCGAGGTTACTTGAAAAAGCTTCGTCGATTCGGCGGTACCAGCATAGGGGCGTTTACTGCTTGTTTCCTCGCCGTGGGACATGGACCTGACAAATTCGATGAAATTCTCAACGGGCCGCAAATCAAGGAATTGTTAGGTAAGGAAGAAGAGCGCAGCTTGTGAAGTGCAAATTTCTTTCGTTAAACAAAACTAGGGGTAGGGGAACTCGGCACCGCCCCTTCCCCATCTCTCGAACATGCATACCTCAGAGTCATTATAACACGATCGTAACTTCAACCGAAGGCAATTTCTGTTACCTTGTATAACGGATAAAAATTCTATACAAAAATCTATTATAGAAGTTGTTTTAGTTATTATTGTTGTTCTTCCTCTCATTATAATTTTCATTATTATTATCATTATTATTATTATCATTATCATTATTATTATTGATATCGAAGGAGGCGTCTATATCTTTCTAATTCATCCTGTTATATTTGTTACAGATGCTACACTCGCGGGTTGTTGCATATAGTAGGTCCATGGTAGAAGTAAGATAACAAACTTCTTAAGACACATTGGATTGCATCCTGGTCGTGCTAGTTTGTTGGTGGCTCCATAGTTCTCGAAAATATCAACCTCAGGCAATTTCAGAAGCCGTGAATAACGGATTATTTATTTATTTATTTCACTTCTTTATTCAGGGTAGTCTGTTCAGTTACAACAATAAAAACCGGGTCTTCCACAAAGCCCTATTATAAAAACAGCACATGAAAAATACATAAATTACAATTAGAACTGTACAATATCAAATTGTAATATTACACAGTTTATGCATGGTTTTACAAAATGATAACAATCAACTATAAAAATAGGTTAAACAAAAACATGGGAATACATTAACTTAATATAATATTACACAAAAGAACAATAGTTAATTAATGATAAGTATACTAACATTTCATTATAAGCATGGTATGGTAATGGAATCAAGTAACATGACAAAAACTGAATCAAAATAGATAATGAGAAAGAAACTGTGATGAACATGTAAGAACTAGATGCTACACAATAAACCATTATTATTTTTATTATTTCTTAAATTATTATCATTATTTAACCATGTGGCATTTGTTACAGATGCATCATTTGGAAAGTTGAGTTTGGTACCAAACTTGTACCTACACATGGGATGGCATCCAGGCAAAGCTATCGACAAGTTTCTTGGTGACGCCATCGCCGAGAAAATGGATGAAAACCCAGATGCGACCTTCAAGGTAAATCAGGGTGTCGTTTTACGAATCCGCCATTACTACAGGTTCCCCATCATCTGATTCAAACGCATGTAAAACCATATTCACGTGTTTCAATGGCATGTCGCCGAATATGTACTTATATTATGATTGTTTCCCAGATTCTGACCGTTTTTGGGATAGTTTACCTTGTGTATGTGTTTTTGTTTGCGTGTGCGTATGTGAATGTGAGTATGTGTGTACGCTAGCTGCATGGCGTTTCCTAGGAATACGTATTGCAATATTCCAACAAATTCCTCCTCCCAGGAATTCCAGGATGTGCATGCCTGTGTAATGTTGTGCTCCCTCCATCGTTCTCTCTCCTCTTTCTCCATTACATATGCAGTCCGTATTTCCTTTCTTTTTTCACTTCACTGAATTTGTACCTTTACATTGTGTCCAGTCATTAGCCTAGTGTTCATGTGAATGCTGTCTCTGTTGGCTCCTTTATCCTTCTTCTTTTGTTTGTTTATCGACTTGAACTTTCTCAGTTATCATTTTCTGAGGGTTCCACAATTTACATGCTCTTCTTATTCACTGGACCTCTCAATTATCAGCAGAATATATATCAGGGTTCATTTGCAATTATTCTACCTTTTCGTGATCAGATATATGTTGTTTTAATTGAAATTTCTTAATTTCAAATGTAATAATATTTAGTATAAAAATGAAATTAAAATAAAAGCGATCGCAACTACTTTGTTGAGTTCTGGTCATGCGATTGCATTGTGAAAGAAACGTTGTGGAATCGATCAGAAAAGGTATTGGCGTGTACTGCAAGGTTCTGGAATCATCAAAATGATAAGAAATTTGGCCCAGTCTTGGTAAAGTAACAATCTGTCATTATTTGTATGATGTTATATGCCATATTTATAATATTAAGGCATTTGAAGAGCCATGCTTTTCAGGGAACATTTTGCGTCTTATGTTTTTCCACACTTGCATAATCAATGATAACGCTCACAAATTATTTTTCACCTCTTCCCAGAGCTCAACCTTCTCTTTAAACATACATACATTATAAACCTACTTGTACATCTTTTTTTAATTTGTACAGCAACTTTACGACAAGACGGGGATAGAACTGTGCGTCGTGGTTACCAACCTCAGTACGATGATGGAGGAATACTGCCACGTGAAGACCACACCAGACATGTCTATGCGACTCGCAGTCAGAATGTCCACATCTATACCAGGCAAGTTGTGTTATGCCTCAGTCATAACTTTGCGTATTTGGCTTGCGTATTGCTGCGTATTTATGGCAAGCCGTTTTAACATTTATTCCTATATCTTGATATCAAGACATCGAGACCATTGCTTTACAAAAAAATAATAATCTTGATTTCAAGAATTGATAGGATACGCCTTCAGTTTTATAACCAATATGTTTATGTAATGCTCTGTCCCCTTATGCTTTCCCCTTATGCTTGATTAAGTCATTATCTGACATTTGCATTACCCGAAGATTCTCCGAGAGACGAGGAGATATTACATTTCTTGATAAGCCTACAGGTTCGCTGTGTGCAGACGTGTACATCCATTGATACTGGTATCTGCACTAAGTCTGGTGTCAGCGTATTATAACCATCTGCATATGGAGAACGAAGACACACTCTCTTACTTTAACCACGGACCTACTATATTGTTGTAATGTATAATTGCATAATTCGAAATAACATGATTATACAGGCTTCGAGGGACCGATTGGAGGGCAATTTCAATTTTCAGACTACATAATGACATATTCAAAAGATGACGCATGAGGCTGTTGTATGTTAGTCATTTATTTATTTTCCACAATCCATTAAATGAAAAACATGCCTAATACTAAAATAAGCCCACTAAATAGTTGATATATAGCGGTAGATATACATAAACATATATATATATATATATATATATATAGTTATCCTATGCAAACTTATTTATGTGAATTGCATAATAAAATCGTTTTCGAGGGTTGGCAATAAAAATAGAATAAATAGTAGAAACAGACCCTGAATAGGGAAATAAACAGCCTGTTGGATTCATTTTGAAGCATTATCTTCCAAGACCCGACAGCTTAATCTGTGTCATCCATATAAATAACGTCTATGACCACTCTGAGAGGGTAGATAATACTAATACGAGATGCATTATGCAACGTCTAGACAAAAAGGTCGTATCTCAACATTATTGTTCTTATTCTTCTTTTACATTTTGAAGCGTTGCAAACCTGCAAAACAATTATTTCAACATAGAGTATACAGTAAAAAATTCAGATACGGAAGGAGGCGAAAACCCAGAAAGCATAGCTTGAGTTGGGAACGCCCATAATAAATTAACATGAGATACATCCATGATTTTGTTTCAGAATCTGAGACGAAGTTACCGGATCCCTTTAAGAGAGCTTATACAGAAGATTTTATGCATGCACCAAGGCAATAGTTGCATTTGTATGCTATCACTCTCAACATTCTCTCCAAAGGCCACACGCGTCAGTACGTCTACGTCAGCTTTATGGCGCCTCGTATGAAATTTGAATTGAGTTGACTCTATTTCATTCTGCGACATTCTAATCAAATTACATTTCAGCGATATAAAATATACACAATATAACCATCTTTGTGTACATGTACATGTAAACAAGAAAACAATAATAAATGTTGACATTAAACAAAATGTAACATAAACATACTACCAAGAATTATTCATTAACAAATCTGCAGAAGAACAGTCCTTGACCGTTTGAAGGACTGCATGGCCGCTTGTAATCAATCTGACATCAGAAAATATTCGGAAGCATAGTTCTCTACCTTTGGACTCTCCGAATAGACATCACATACCTTTTCTGTTTCACTACATATTTGACTTTGTTGAAGAAATTCAATTAAAAAATAGTTATTATAAATATATTTGAAGATACGTTGCTTGTTTACATTCCCAATCTCTCTCTCTCTCTCTCTCTCTCTCTCTCTTATTCCATTCAGGTGTATTATTTCCCGTTACGCGAACAGACAATGGCCGAAACGACATGTACATTGATGGTGGCGTCATATGCAATTACCCCGTCCATTGCTTTGATGGTAAGAAATATTACTACTAATAATAGCTCACATTTATAATGCGCCTAGTACTTTATTTCTAGACGCAGCGCATATCATTACCCAAGTAATCTGATTCAGGCTTATGCTACGTTTACACTATGTTACCGGCGGCCACGGCAGTCCCGTTTGCCCGAAACGTAGTGCGCCGTAGGATTTAGGCCAATTTTATCCCTGTATTCAAGTATTGTTAGGTCTTGCCAAGTTTTCTCACGGTCTATCACGGTATCCGGCCGTGACGGGCCGTGGGGGGGGGGGGGGATGCTGAGTCCCGGAGGCTCCAAGGAGCACTACGGTTCGGCCCGCGTTCTACCACGGATGCCAGAATGTTCTCTCTCGGCCCGTCACGTTTTGATGGGGTCCCTCACGTTTCTCACGTTCTGATCAAGGTCCGACACGTTTTTCACGTTCTGTCAAGGCTTTCTACGGATAAAACGTGGACGCCGGGCAGCTTTGGAGCACGTTTGTGCCCACGGTATAAAAAGAAGGCCTCCCAAGCAAAAGCCATCATTGTATCCTGAGATTTCGACGAGACAAGTAATGATAAATCAAGTCTTTATTAGAGATCATGCATACACACAAAAAACAGGCCCGTCAACCCAGTGGGTTAGGCGGCAGGTTATAATCAATACGATATACAATAGCAAAGTACATTAACAATAATAATACAAATATTCGTCATTGCAATTAAAATGTAACAATTTATGTGATAACAAGGAGCACTGGGATAGAGAGAAAGGGAAAGGGAAGAGGTGAAAAGGAGAAAAAGAGAAAAGGAGAGGAAAACAGAAGTGGTATAGTACAGAACAGGATAAAAAGAGAAGATTGTAACATTATGATGAGGAAGGAAAGATCCCCATACATGATACATTAATCAATAGTGGTATAATTGAATGTGTCACTTAATTTCTTGTCCACAAATTCATCTTGACTACTAAAGTATTCTGTCAGAATGATCGTTAGGTCGTCAGCTGCTGACTTCGGGGTAATAATACCGGCACCAAGATCGTGGTATAGCAATGTTAAACGGTCCTTTATCGCGGCATTGTGGGGTTGCCATTCGGTGGCCCTCCGATTTGGAACGTTGAATCTCAGAAGATAAGCCTGGAACGTGAAGAATAATAATAACGATCCAATGAGCACGTATGGAGGCATTGCAGTTGTTAGGTGTTTCGTCGCCGGTAGTTGTAGGGTATGAACAATCGAGAGTTCCGATATATCGAGAGTGAAGATATATGATAAACGTTCCTTTTCAGGGCCCCAGGCTCATGTATAAGTCACCAAACGAAATATGACATATGATCACAACTTCACAAGACTACAGAATTGATGATATTAATATATCAGTAGCAGCACAAATAACAATCTGTGGGGGACTGCCAATAGCAAAGTTGCAGAAATTTACAGAGTGGTGTCATTACCAAGCTACCAGCGCCATTTCATAAATGCCCAAGATGAAGAAGATTTATTGTTTGCATGTTTGCTGGGTGAATACATCCAGTCTTTGCGTCAGCAAGAAGAAGGCCAGCATCAGTTGCAGGGAGGGAAGGCTAGAGTGAAGCAGGTATAGGAAGAAGGCGGATGAGAAGGCCGAGACGCGCCGTGATTAAACGCGACGAAACGGCTACAATTGACCCCTTCAAAATTGCTCAGACTTGAATAAAGCACCCCTGTCGGCCAGGTAAAGCGCGCAGTGTCAGACCGTAGTAGAACGCAACGCACTGTAGCGCGCCGGGTCGTAATCCGTCACACGCCGAGAAGCGCCGTGATTGAACGCGACGAAACGGCTACCAAACACCCTATCTTGCAGTGAGAACCGTCAGAAAACGTGGTAAAACGAACGGGACAAAACGTGCAGCAGCCGTGAAGCAACCGTGACTAACCGTGCAAGCGCGTAGCCAGGATTTCATTTTAGGGGGGGCGGTAATGAGCACGCGAAGCGTGCGAATCACTTAAAGAGCGCGCGAAGCGCGCTCCCTAGGAGGGTGGGTGCAGGGAGGGGGGAGTTTCCCCCCTCCCGCGCTAAGCGCGGAAGCTTTGAAAGAAGACGATTCGTTGTACCTTTCTCGACTCATAATCCTTGTCTGAATTCAGTCCCTCCCCTCTCTCGCGCGAAGCTTTGACGTTTCATTAAATTATTAGAGAAAGAAGACGATTCGTTGTACCTCTCTCGACTCTTAATCCTTATCTGTATTCAGTCCCTCCCCTCTCTCACGCGAAGCTTTGACGTTTCATTAAATTATTAGAGAAAGAAGACGATTCGTTGTTCCTTTCTCGACTCTTAATCCTTGTCTGAATTCTGTTCCCCCCCTCTCTGAAGCTTTGACGTTTCATTAAATTATTAGAGAAAGAAGACGATTCGTTGTACCTCTCTCGACTCTTAATCCTTATCTGTATTCAGTCCCTCCCCTCTCTCACGCGAAGCTTTGACGTTTCATTAAATTATTAGAGAAAGAAGACGATTCGTTGTACCTTTCTCGACTCTTAATCCTTGTCTGAATTCTGTTCCCCCCCCCTCTCTGAAGCTTTGACGTTTCATTAAATTATTAGAGAAAGAAGACGATTCGTTGTACCTCTCTCGACTCTTAATCCTTATCTGTATTCAGTCCCTCCCCTCTCTCACGCGAAGCTTTGACGTTTCATTAAATTATTAGAGAAAGAAGACGATTCGTTGTACCTTTCTCGACTCTTAATCCTTGTCTGAATTCTTCCCCCCCCCCCTCTCGCCCGAGGCTTTGACGTTTCATTAAATTATTAGAGAAAGAAGACGATTTGTTGTACCTTTCCCGACTCATATTTCTTAATTTGAACTCAGTTTCCCCCTTCCCGCGCGAAGCGCGGAAGCTTTGACGGTTCATTGTACCGTTCTCGACTCCTTTTCCCTTTTTCTTCCTACGTCCTCTTTCTTTTTTTCCTTCTCTTTCTCTCTTTTTTTTTTTTTTTTTGGCCGGCGTTTTGGGGGGGGGGGGCGACCGCCCCCACCGCCCCCCCCTGGCTACGCGCCTGTAACCGTGCACTAAACGCGACAGAACGTGACAAAACTTGAAAGAACCGTGAGATGCCGGGGGAAAAACAGGCTTACCGTCCCACTACAGACCGCCTCCAAGTTTTGTTACGGCCTATTACGTACTGTCACGTTTTGTTGCATCAACCCCGTTTTACTACGGCCCACTAGGTTTCTCATTGCACCGTGACTGCCGTGGAATTTTTATTGACAGTTTAAAAATCTGGCCCGGCATCCACGACAGTCATGGCCTGTCACGTTTGCCCATACGGTCCCCCGATGTTGTCTCACGTCTATCCCGTTTCGTCCACGGTGGCCTGAAACGTGGTTGCCGTGGCCGCCGGGAACATATTGTAAACATATCATTACCCATAACATAATGTATGCACATTTTCACTCCCTGGGGAGCATTCCAGCCAGTCGCCATTTTACAAGCGCCACTTACTAATCCAACCACATTCACTTTCGCATCCTACCGGGTACCCATTTAACACCTGGGTGGAGAGGGGCAAAATAAGTTCAATGTCCTGCGAAAGAACACATTTAGTGGCTTGAACCGCGGACCTTGTGATCCACAGTCCGGCGACGTATCCACTAGACCACGATACCTCTACATTGGCTAATACATCCAAAGTAATTGCAGATCGGATGAGGTGTCCAAAACTGCTTATTGATTAAAGGCAAATTCATATAAAAAGTAATATTTGTAAAATTAACTTCCAACAACATAACTACACAACATTTGAAATAAAAGGCCTTTCTGGATGCAAAAAGAAAATAAAAAATGAAAACACTGAACAGTCGAGGAATCCGGAAGAGGTGCGGTTGTATTTGCTTCATGGGGTTTCTCCTGTCTCAGTGTCTCCTCTCTCTTGACTAGTCATGAAAATTGCAAACCTAGAACGCACACTTTTCGCATCACGCTTAATGGGCGTGGCTTTCATTGACATTTCAATATGAACCAATGAATTGACACCGACACGTAATAAAGCATCATTGTGATTCTGATTGTACAGGTCCGTATAAAGGCTGTGATGACGATTGCCCCTAAAACGAAGACATAACCCTGTCCATTCTGAATCAATATATTACACACATATACAGTACCTTTCGAGAGTCTAGCAAAAACTATGAGCTAATGAAGAGGCCTAAATAGTAACTTACCCGAGGGCAAATTGATATCAAATGTACTATACCCTCGGCAAGCCCCGGGTATACTAAATTTGATATCAGTTTGCCCTTGGGTAAGTTACTGTTCATGTCTCTGAATGCCCATAGTTTACTAGAGCCAAGAAATACATTGTATATCTATTTTATATCTCTCATGAGCATCTCACGATTACAAAGAAACATGTAATTTGACTGTGCGCATTCAGCAGCTTCGGCCTAAATTAAATAAAATGGGAAGGAAAGGGAAGAAAGAAAAGGGCTCCGGCGTAGAACTGCGAGAGAAGGAGGTAAAGGGTTTCGTTATCCTCAAGATTAGCATCAAAATCGGCTTTTATATCCTTACAAAGATCCCATAACACAAAATGTCCCTAGGCCTACCTAGCTGATCTGTTTCTCCGTGTTTTTGCTGTCATTTCCTTCGTTAAATTTCAACAGTTCTTCCACATTTAACAGGTGAAAAAGAGAATAATCGGCAGCCATTTCAACTCGGTCATCAGTTATGGAAGCAGCTTTTTTGTCCTACTATGTTTTTTTCAATAAGCTATCCTACGCGCACGCCGCGCTGGAAATCCTCCGATGGCTGTGCACACCATACCGGCTGAAGAAACTTCAAGCCGGAGAATGAGCTGGCGCGCTCGTTGCACAGCACCTCAAACAAAGAAGAAATGTTGATATTGATCGCAGAAATATCGATGATCGTGGGGGAAAAAGTGGATTCCGGAATGTACTATGCCACGCCAAAGTGGAGATTTTCTCCCGCTCTCAAATTGACGGTGAAAATATCCCCTTTTCGTGCTCTGTAAAAATCGTAATGCAAAAAACTATACATGAGGGATATAAATATTTATATACCTCTTTTTGTATGTTGAATAAATCTAGTCATCTGATTGGTCGAAATTGGAATCATGATTTTAGCCATGCCCGCCTATCGGTCAATATTTGTTGTTAAGATGCCCGTATGCCCGCCTACGGGTCAATAGATTTTTTAAAGACGGAAAGTACGATTTTACCCTCCTTTGACTAACCAAAGACCGCAGTATTCACTGACACGGTCGTTAGTCAGACAAAAAACGACACCCAGTTTGCACCCGACATGAATAACATTTTCCTTTCTTTCTTAGGATGGTGGCTCTCAATGAAGCCGAAAGATTCTTTCTTCAAGAAGATGAGCCCTCTACAGGATGGGGCAAAACTGCTCACCAAGAAGGAGAGGTTTGGAGACCCCAATGAAAAGACATTTGGAATGATCATTGTAAGTAATTTTTTCTATCAATTCAAATGAAGTCAGATGAATTTATTGAAATAAAATTCACAATAATTTATTCCTTGGAATGCTAGAGCGCCGTATTGCAGCCGTGCTAAAGCCAGGGTAATAATCGGGAACGCCAGGAGGGTCAAATCTGACTGACATGAGCGCTATACAAGAACCCATTATTATTATTATTTTTATAGGTACAAAGGAAGAATAACAAAAAAGTTACAAGCGAACCGTCGGAAAGGTATTTCAGATCATCATTGAGAAAAGAAACTATTGCAGCACTAGAGTGCACTGTCTCGTGTTGCTCTTGTCGGTTAAGGAATAGTGAATAGATCGTACTTTGTCATAAATTATGATTTCATTACAGGGAAATATATATGAACTAAAATATATATTTGTTTAAATCTATTAAAAAAATACGTTCTTATTATAATTTCATTTCGGAAGTGTTACATTCAAAATTAATGGATTGCTAATGGTGTTCATTAGGCCCTCTCTCTCTCTCACTCTTCTCTCTTGTAACAGTATAGTGACTATGATTCGCATGTATTGCCTACCAACTCTGAGCTGGAGGCCATCAATTATCCATTACCTGACACCAAACTCGTCAGGTAAGAGTCCAAGGGGGTGTTCCACAAAGATCCTAAGTCGAACTTAACTCTAAGTTGGACTTAAACATTATAGAGACCCATTTGTAGCCTTAAATATATGATTTCCCGGCGAAATTCGCGAGCTTGTCATTCGAATTCATTTACTTTGCATTTAAGTTAGCGCAGATCAGGGTTGCCATGCCAATTATCATTCAATTTTCCCGTTTTGGTATTCAATTTTGAATTTTGGTCGAAAGGTTTCATAGATATTTCATTGAATTTAGAAACTGCTCAACTAGCATTCAAATTAATCGTCACTTGTCGAATTAAAACCTGTTATTCGTATTCGAATTATGTTTATTAAAGTTAGGAATGTTAGGGGGAAGAAATGCAACACACGTTTAGAGTTTTAAAAAAATGCAATTAAATGCATTATATGCCATTAGGGTCTTTTCTGATATTCCATTTATTAATTTTGAGGACAATGCATATGGGTGTAGTCAGACATTAGGTAAAGAAGGGGCGAAATCAAGGGATATGGCAATTTTACACGGACATGTTCATATACCCCGGAAAAGTGAGGATACAAAAATACCTACCTCAAGTCACAATGTTGTACCCTACCGCCATATTGAAATTGTGATAAATTTATGATGAAACACAAGACAAACAACTTCCTTACATGAACATTTACAAAAATATTGAGACCATCAAGTCCGTAGATGTAAGTCGTTTTCTTTCTTAACAATCAAACTTAAAGGATGATGAATATCAGATAAATCTAACAGATGTAAGAAAATAAAATATAATGAAATACAGATGGAAAAAACAATCTAGAAAGAAAAAGAATGAGCTATAAAAAGTGTGTAATAAACGAGAAATGTACATTGACCACCAATTTAAGTGCACAAAGTGCTTATTTGAATGCCGAATTCGAATGCTAAAAGTACACCTTCGCGATGTTAGAAATCGTTTTGCGCCAAATCGAATGACCAAATAGCGAAAGAAGCACATTATGCATTAATTTGAATGAAACATACATAGATTCTAACGACAACTTCATAGATTTGAAAACTAGAAAAAGGAATATAAACCCAAGATATCTGACAGCACTAAAATCGTCGAATTAAAACGCAAGACAAATTAATTTAAATGACAAACTCGCGAATTCAGCCGGAAAATCCTATAAAATATATTCAACAAAAATCATTAAGTATTTTAAACTTTTCTTAAACTCCACATTAAAAACATGAAATCTCCTTGATGATAGCAAATATGAATGATTTGAATCAATATCTTTTACAAAATATTTTCAAAGATGCCAACGGCTTTCCATAATTGATAAGTTCAACTTAGGACCTTTGTAAAACACCCCCTGTACTACATTAGTTCTACTATTATTTTTGACTATTACTATAGCTTGCATCTCTGGTATGATTGTCGTAGGAGACGGACTTCTTTCTGCAAAAAGAAGGCATCGCTTTGTTTTCTATTTCAAAATGGAAATTCAATGGTACGCATATAAGCACTTTCCAAGTATTTCCCAGTATTTGCCGGTATTTACCAGTATTTCCAAGTATTTCCCGGGATATTGCCCACCCCGGTGATGTTCTTATCAATCTCATTTACCCAAATTTAGAATGATGTTTTTTTTCTTCGCCATAGCCTTGGTTAATGTTCATGTCTCTGCTCCATACAATAAACAATAGTATCGTTAGTATCAACAGCATTAGGCCCAACACGAAATCATTTGGTTGTCCTCGACCGCCCGCTCGTCATTTTCGGGCCGCTTGTAATGAAATTATTATTTTTTGTAATTTTGTTTTTTGGGGAGCAATTTTAAAATCCAAACATACCATTTTGTGCATTTTACAAGGATCAAAATGCGTCCCGCTGCCAGTTTGGTCTTTTTTTAATGCAATTCTGTCTTACACACTGTTCATTGTATAGACTTCGCACCCGATGAGATTACTAAAACTAAAATGACTTCTGAATAAAGATGCACCGCACACGCAATGAATGTTATATCTTCACTAAAAAAGTAGCGTGATAGAATATTTCACAAAACTTATGTTTGATATTTTCCGAAATTATTTCCCCATTAATATTGATTTAAATATTATTTGAAGCAATGTTTGCTGCATTCAGCACGAGGAAGTTGGGTTTACTAATATTTTCACTTATACATTTTCAACCTTGCAAACTCGCACTTGAAGGCATGCACGCACCCGTAACGCCGTTTTGCTTGGCAACACAATGTATTTTAAAGCCAAAAATACTTTCTGTGTTGGTGTTGATATTAATTGTACATTTGTTAAAAAAGATGATATTAAACTATTTTTTTACCAAAGTGTTGTATTAACTTTATTTGTTTAAATGCTTGACGTCTCAAAGATTTTTATTTTCTTTATGGAAAAATAAAAAAACAAAAAATAAATAAATTAACAAAAATTGGGGGGGGGGGGGGAATTAAAGAAAGACACAAATTTAAAAATGAATAAACAAAATTCAAATAAAAAATCCGCCCGCCCGCCCCTACTCCAGAAAAGCAATTGAGGACAACCAAATGATTTTTTGTTAGCCTTATCAACCAAATGCATACTTTCACCTTGGATTCTTTGAATGTTGTTTCAATGTTGTAGAGCCCATGAACAGATGACGCAAAACAGGAAAACGGGCATGGAGAAACACAAACAGGTGCAGGAAGCAATGGAGCACTTCTGGAATGATCTGCACATGGAGGATCGTGATGGTGACTCAGAGATTGATCGTAAAGAGCTTCGGAAAGTCTTCGAGCATGTACGTAGGTCTATACGTTATCCAGTCTTTACCAACCCCGTATCACAGTTGACGTCATTTGTGTGACGCAAGGGTGCATCAGTATACAAATGATGCACAGGTTTGAGTGCGTCGGTAGGGATTGTGTGCACGCGGTACCTTTGAATGGTTTTAGACCAAATTCAAAGGTACCGCGTGCACACAATTCCACCGATCCACGAATTAAACCTGTGCATCATCTGTTTTATAACATGGGGCCCCAAAAAGTGTCAAAAATACAAAATGTTGTTATTTTACAGATTTACCGGATGCATGGCAAAATCATGCGTCCGGTAATTACCGGACGCATAATTTTTTTTACCGGATTTTACCATGATTCTTAAATTTGCATAATTTGTCTGTTGTTACTTATGCAATGGATTTAAACAAATATAGAATGACTTAGGTCTAAAACTTAACAAAATAAAGTCAGGCCTTACTGACCTTTACATGAAACATTAACAAAAGAAAGTCATTAAATCAATAAAAACTTATTTTGCAAGCTTTTTTGAGTTTTGGGGAGGTGCAATCTAAATTCGAAGAGGTCTGGATCTTGTCCATACCAAGTACAGAAAATGTGTGGTGCTTCCCGGCCACTCTCGCTTCAGTTTCACCAACACAGCCTCGAGAAATTGAAATGAGTTACAGATATCTAAAGTACAGTGATCCAAAAAGTGGCGTTGCCACAGCGAAGGTACTAAAGTCTAGGTTTTCAACTCACCGTCAGTCTATGTACAGAAGCATAGAACTTAGTTTAGAACGATAACAGTTTGTCCGATTCTGGCGTAAAACGTCTCCTAAATTGACGTTCTTGATCTGTGCAAACTTTTCCAACTTTGAGAATCCATACTTTAATTTAATATTTTCATGCTAGTTGCATCTGAATCATCCAACACTTAAGATAATTCTTCTTCTGATAGAAGCTGGAAAATCAAATCGCCGCCGCGATTTCGCCGTCTTGTTTTGGGTTTGGTTTTTTCCTTAGTGGAGAAGAGAGAAAGTGCAAACAATCGGTATACCGGTGTTATCGATTCCAATATCGCCTATATCATGTTGATATCGCGTGCATCCAGTAAAAATAACTACCCGGTAATTGACCAATCAGATTGCAGGAATTCTTCTAACCATCTTATAATAAGCCTTGCGTTCTTTTTAGAGAGAGAGAGAGAGACGTCGTATGAATATGTGATTGTAAACGAAGAGTTCCATTCATTTTGTTAACTCACTGACGGTGCATGATAGTCAGGTGATGTAATGACATAGGTGATAATGACCCCCCCCCCAATAAAGCCTTTTGACGCATCGTGTACTGCATGAACTATGGCCGTTTCACAGAGGAATTATTTGGTCGTGTCATTACCTGCGCTATTGAAGCCTTTGAAGGCAGTTAATAAATGCGCCAGTTTTCCTACGAAATATCCACACTTTTCATTTTCTACTCTCTTAGAGTACGATGTTCCTCTCCCTTGAGGTATCAAAGCTTGCGCCAGTTTTCACTCTCTCTCTCCGTCTCTGTCTCTGTCTCTCCTTTCCTCTTGATCCCCTCCTCCCTCCCTCTAATTCTGTACTTTCACCCCTCACTTCTACCTTCTGCCTAATCATCTTAATCTCTTCAGCACAGCTATCACTCTTTATCGTTCTATTTACCATCTCCTCCCGTCATCTTCTCATACATCTTGTTCACTCCCATCCTCAACATCATACTTGTATGTAGGAATTTTAAAGTTTTATAAAAGATTACCATGCATTCAAGCTTGGCTGATGTGGCAATCTTTCTTTTCAATTTGTTTATGTTAGTATTACAATATATATTTAATGTCTATAGTTACATTTGTTTTTTAATTGATTCCCGCTACATAACCTGAACTAGTACTCGTTGCTAATTGCACAATGTATACCATTCAAAATGCTAAACTAGGATCTACTTTCTCCCCTCTCTCCCTTTTTTTGGCTCCTCATTCTTTCGTTCATGATCTAGACAAACGAGTTCACCCAGGAAGATATTCTTACGCTGTTCGGCAAGGCCCTTACAGCTGATGAAGTCTTCGATCTTCTGGATACCAACAAGGATAACAAGGTAGATCAGTGCAGCATTTCTGGTATAATTTCATTTAATGATGTTTATAATGCTCCCTATCATGAATAGACCCTATTGTCACAATCATTTCATAAAAAGAGGTGCATGTAAATATATCTTAAAACTTTATATAGGCAACAGTGAATACAACACATGATAAGTGATGCAAACTGAGATGTTTATTTATTACTTTTACTTATGTATTGATATTTAAATGGTAGCCAATTTAGCCAGTAGTCAGTTGGTCTCCCACGGGGTCCTGTGAATAAAGAAAATTAGGACTATCAATCAAACCAATCGCAATAAAAATAGCATGTCAGAAAAAAAACATATATACAATTAAAATTCACATTAAAATTAAAAGTAAAGTTACAGTTGACTTGGCAATATGAAGATCATGGTAACTTTGTTTAAGGTAGGTTTTGAATGAGTCAAGCTTTGTGGGATAATGACAGTTATATAAATGAATAGACCTAAACATGCTGAAAGTGACCTGCACTAGACACAGAATTGTGTACATGGGACTACACGAAATGTGGCGTGAAAATTCGATCCAAATTAAGCGTGCGGCTTACCTCGAATCATCGGTTCATCGCGCCGGGCTGGATAGTCGCGTACGTGACCCGAGCTTTTGTGAAAACATACCCATTTATTCATGGAATAATCACAATCGGAAGCGATGACCCGATGATTCGAAGTAAGCTCTTTTCAGGACACTTATTTTTTCCAATGACATTCTTTAACCCTTACACAAATATAATGCAAAAAGCTTCCAAAATATTTTCACTTTTTTCACCTATTAGATTGTCTACAGTGAATTGATGAGGCTGGCTAACAAGAAGGGCGTAGGGCTCCATGAACAACACATTGGATCTGGTCGGCAAGACATCAGGAGTTCGACTGAATTTGGGATAGGTATCTTTAAGGCGCTGCTTATGAACGTCAAGCGAGCCTTCCTTGGGGTGAGTGTTCTCTTTCTTTTGTTGATATTAGAAGTCGTAATATTTCATTATTAATATAATTATCAAATTTAATGTCATTATTATTATTATTTTGTATTATTTTTATCATCGTTATCTGTATTAACCATCGTTTTATTATTATTCTCATTCTTATTATTACTCTTATTATTATCATCAATATTATTATTATTATTATTACTATAATTATCATTACTTTTTAGTAGGGTCCTTAATCGGGGCAGCGCCAGGAGCGTCACGACGTGACGGACATGTCCGCCATATAAGAAGCCACTATTATTATTATTATTATTATTATTATTAATATTATTATTATCATTTTGCATGTTATTATCATTATTATTATTATTACCAATACTTTCATTTGTATAAATTATTATTGTTGTTTTTGTTGTTAGCATTATTATTATTATTATCATTATTATCATCATCATCCCTACCGACGTTATCATCATTATCATAATTTTTACTACTATTATTTGAATATCAATTTTCTTTCATCCTGTCGACGACTGCAGGGCGATGATATCGAGCGTACAGTGCTCATCAACACAGTCTACTATCAGTCTTTCGACTTCGAGCCGCAGACAGAAGACCTTGATTTCCTGGTCGAGGTAAACATTATAAACACCATAACATTTCTAAGGGCTCGTTCAGATAAATGCAGGCGGTAAAGTCTCGGCGCAGAACCGTGGATTTTATTACGTGCAAATAAATGAGAAAGGTCTTACGCGTATTTACTTAGCTATGTGCAATAAGATATACTAAGATATTACAAGAAAATATACGATGTAATATATATGTATATATATATATATATATTAGTGCTTCCAAGTATTTGTTCATTCTGTTTAATAGATTTGTTCATCTATTTCAGAGAATTTGTTTTGGACTCTCGTATTTTCAAGCAATTTGCATTTTTTTCATGGTCAGAAAGTACTTATTCTTTTTTCTTTTTTTAAAATTTATATGAAATGCAGAAGAAACACTAATCAATTCAAATCAGATACATAAAACAATATGAAGCATATTTTATTTTACGTCATCATTAAAGAAAACCGCTGCGGTTTATCGCTGCATATCAGAACAAGGCTTCACAATAAAAGGTAACGTTCTCAAGAAACATGAATCGAGAGAAATTAATTTTACGCATACTTAAAAAGTCAACAATTTGGTAAAGGTATGAAAAGTTTAGTTGTTAAGTGTATGTATTAATACTTTACAATGTAGTATTTGTAAGAGAACGCTGACGTTTAATAACCGAGTCAACAAACCTGTTACATTACCCTATTTTCCTCCCATTTTGTATTTGATAATCTTAAATCCCAATCTCGTTTGCATTTTCACATACAGCAAGGGCGTCGCGGATTCTTAAAGTTTCTGAAGTACCATGCGATCAAAGATGCATCAAAACAAGACCAAGCATGTTCGACGTAGAGGGCAGTCTACATCAGTAACTTTATATTTCACGTTGATCTTTTTAGTAACATTTGCATTTTAAATCAGTAGTAGAAATTATACGTATGAATGAAATATTGGTTTTAAGTATTTGGCAACAATTAAGCTTGCTTTTAGTTCTATATGTATATATGATTTTAGTAGGGATGACATAAGTATGAAATATATATAGACACAAGAAACTTGGTTTGAATTTCACAAGCGCTTTCGATTTATTATATTATCATCAGGTGACGTGAGCCTTACATGGTGTTATATAGGTGCGTATGTATATGCAGGTGGACGATTACACTGTTCAAATAGGTACCAGTATTATTAAGCTGTCCTATGGATTAACGGTTGATTTTATATACGACTTTGATTGTCCTGAGTTTTCCTCTCTTCTTCGTAGGATTAAGATTTAAAGGACGTCTGTACTAGTTTCGCAGGGAGGAATTAGACCACCCAGCAAGGTCACTGACAGGTGGCTATCTCATCAACTCGGCTTTCAATTTACATAAGAAAAGGAGGATCGTGGCGAACCAATGGTCACCGATTATGTATTGTTTGCTATATAGAAGGAGCAAATAGTTACAAGTAGTACAGTGTGGCTTTAAGGTGTAAAAGTGCATGTAATCTGTCTTATTGTAGATCACTAATCTGTAAATTAAAAAAATAAAGATATTCAATTAGAAGAGAGTTGTATGTGAACAGTAATTCTGTGTCGGGTGTATCTCCCGTTTCACCAATATATTATTATCCTCTGCCATGGCAGATAATATATACATTAAAGGTATTACAAAGTTTTGGTATAGTGTCATGAATTTGGTTCAAATGAACATATTGGAAGCATATGCGATCCTACAATATTCAGTGATCGTTGTCGCGGTTGAAATCGAGTCTAAAGTTATGAAATTGTAAATAATAAACTCTTTATGTTGTATAGCTTCCTCTCAAGGTCAAGATATTAATTAAGCTATGAAACAATGTTTCTAGACTAAAATCGACCGATTAGCTATTCCCGTTTGGGAATTATATATCACAACAACTTATTCTGAGATTTTCATTGTCGCAGCTATCATTGTACGGCCGTAGGAGCTATTTGAAATTTATCAAAATTTACCGGGAGCACCGGTAAATTTGTATATTTGTATATGTTTTTTTTGAAAGCAGAAGTGTTTTAGGGCCTATTTTTGTTAGTGCTTATAATACATCCACAGGGGCATCCAAATATATTAAAATTTTAAAGAATCACTATCCACTCAATTTTCTAAATTTCCCAAAACTTTGTGAATTCAGATAAGTAAATGTAAGTAGGAATGATATTTTAGACGCCTCGATCTGGTGTTTTTAAGGCAATGTGATTAGTCTTGTTTTTATGGAAGGGCAAGCTTTGCAGCTTTTGTCTTTACATATCTGTATGCCACTTCCCGCAATGGGTAATTGTTTAAGTGCGTCCCTTGCTAGTAATTGTTGAAAAATTTAGTTTTTGCGTTTATAAAGGGTCAGTTTTGTCCCTTCAAAACCTGATTGAAGTCTTTTTCTTTGACAAAGTGCGTATTGATATGATACTGATATTGATTATCAGTTTGCTGACGTTCGGGTTATTTGGATTACGGATATGAATAAATGATATTGCTTCAATAATATAACATTTGGCTTACATGTTTAAGTCCTTCACGAGAGAGTTTTTTGGCTTTTTTAAATTCCGTCCTGTTTGTTGGTTTCCACGAGTTTCAGCCGACCTGAGATGGCGCTAGAGGAACTTTATGCGATAGTGCTTGTAATGCAGTATGGCATCCTTCTAGTCTTTCACTGAAAGAAAAAAAAATCAGTAAAACATTGCCTGAATGTTATGTATGTTATGTTAGTCCTGTCTCTAACATTTGAAATAAAACAATGATCTAGTTTTCAAAAGAAGCATGGAAATACCGTCAAAGGCACGTTTAACAATGTTAAATCTGAGATGCATGGCCCTACACGTTACCAGTGTCTGTGATATGGTGTAATATTGAAGCCCTGCCCTTCAATTGATCATGAAGTGCCTCAAAAATGTAAAAATCGTTGTGTGTCCGGTTTAACCATACCCATTTACCCTAATAGGCTTTAGTGTTATAAAAACCGTTAGAAAAACGGTTTTTGAAATTCCGATTTCCAATCATAAAAACCTCGATAATCAGCCTCCAGGCTATCGGCTTGTAAAATTCACAGGATTCCTAACTGACCTGAATGTTTATAATTATAATTGCAGCATGAGCTAAATCCAGATTTTTGTTTCAGAATCAGAGACAAAGATACCCAATTCATTCAATGTCATATGCTTCATATCAAACCCAGTTCTTGTATTTGTTGCTTTAAATATGAGATGCCGTGGACTACCAATGGTGTGTCTTACTTAGAGTAGCATTTAATAATAATAATGGTGGCTTCTTATATAGCACACATGTCCGTCACGTTGTGGCGCTCCTGGCGCTGCCCCGATTATTACCCTGGCTTTAGCAAGGCAGCCACTGCGGTGCTCTAGCATTTCAAGGAATTAATTCCTGCCAGGTACCCATTTACATCACCTGGGTTGAGTGTGGCAAATGTAGATCAATGTCTTGACAAAGGATATTGATACCGCGGCGGGACTCGAACCGCGGACCTTAAGATCGACAGTCCGTCGACGTATCCACTCGAATAATAATACATAAAGTAACGGTTCACTCCTCTTCCTGTCATCTTAATTTCAGCCATCTGAATTCAATTTCATAATGATTGTAATAGTGTCCAGTAAAAAATGTAATGTTTTGATTTATTATATTCTTCGCTGTCCAGTAGCCTATTACTTCGATGTCGTCATATATATGTTATGTTGTTATTTTTAGTGACCTATTTTTTTAATGTAATTTGATATTTTGTACATTTATACTTGCATATTATTATTTCGTTAGTATATTGTGCATTTTCCCACCTATTTGTAGTACGCTATATCTCAATAAACATCTCTATATCTGCAATTATCTCTTAATCATCTCTTACAATTCGTCCTAACTACGTGATGCGCATTGAGACTTATGTTTAATTTATAATGCGCTACATAACAATCTACTTATTATATTATTATGTTATGATGGATAGTTCAGTCTTAACTATGAATAACATTACACTTATGCATTTTATAAAAACAAGAGTCTGAAAACATATCTTTCTAAGGTCCGATGGCGATGACATATCTCATCTCAGAAGCAAATTGAAAGATTTCTTTACAAAGACTGCTTCAATCGACTTAAAGACAAACTTTAGTACTGGTAATGTGATTGCATTGTGAAAGAATAGGTGTGGAAAGGATCAGAAACAGCTGATCATGTAGCATGTAAGTATTGGTGTGCACTGCAAGGTTCTGGAGTCATCAAAATCATAATAAATTTGACCGAGTCTTGGTAAAGTAACAAGCACTGTACACAGAAAGCTATATATGGGACAACACACATGGTGTCGGGGCTAGTACTACCTTGATGTCCTTGTCTTTCTATGCTAATTACTCAGCCAGTATACATTTTCTTCCAAAATTGTTTGGCACATGTCATTTATTTCTAATCTTGAACATTCAGTGTAAGTTTCGTTTGATTCTGTGAGAATTAATATATTTTTTTTTTACCAGAACTGGAGTTTATCTTTAATATCTTATAGGTACTGCAGAAACGACATTTCCCACGAAAAAGGAAAAAGGGTTAAGTATTTAGGGCAACTTCAGATATTCTCCAGCAAAAGGGACACCTCGGTTTAAAGCTTTCGAACATCAATAAATGGTCAAGCGTGTCATTTTATCATAAGACCCGAGTCTGACACAAATTGCAACAGAAAAATATTGAATGCACTGCTACTGCTGACAGCAGGCGCTTATGCAGGGAGGGGGGGGGGGGAGAGGAGGGGCCATCTTCCTTTTGATAAATGTGCCCCCCGATTTGTTCATTAAATCCTCTTCACTTATTCCTCTGATAAATGCCCCTTTTCCTTCAACAACAGCCCTTTTCCTTGGCAATACGTGTTCCTTTTCTATTCTCATAAGTGCCCTATTTCATCTCTGGTATTTTTCCGCTTTTCAGGTACGAGAAGTACGCCTTACCCCCCCCCCCTCCCCACCGATAATTGCCCCTATTCAAATCTTAGAGGTTCACATTTCATTTTGACAAGTGCCCTTTTTCCTTAGTAATAATTGCCCCCTTCCCCTTCTTATAAGTGCCTCTTTTCCTACTCATAAACGCCCCCTTTCAAAACCCAATTATTGCCACTATCAAAATCTGACAGGTGTCCCTTGTCCTTCCCCAAAATGCCCCCCTTTTCTTTATAATAAGAGTTCCTATTTCATTCCCATAAGTGCCCATTTCATCTTCAGTGAGAGCCTCTTTTTTAGGTGCGCGAAATCCCCCATTTTCACCTTTGTTAATTCGCCCCTTTTCCTTTTTAATAAATCAATTTTCCCTTCTAATAAGTGCCATTTTACGTTTGTAATGAGAACCCCTTTTTTAAACCTCCGATAAGTGGCCTTTTATTTTTACACGTGCCCCTTTCCTTTCCTATAAGTACCATATTTCCTTCGGATAAGTGCCCCTTTTTCCTTTTTATATGAGCCCCTTCCCCTTTTTAAAATGTCGCTGGTTACAGCTGATAAATGCCCCTATTACAATTTGATAGTTACCCTTTTCCTTCGCCGATGCCCCAATTCCACTCTCACAAGTGACGTTTTTCATCTCCGTTGTGTGTCTCTTTTCAGGTGCATGAAGTGCCCCATTTTCACCTCTGATAATTGCCCTTTGTACTTTGACACGTGATCCTTTTCTTTTCTCACAAATGTTTTTACCCCTTTCGATGATTGTACCCTTTTCCCTCTCATCATTAAACGTGCCACTAATTTAAAGTGACTAAGAGTAATTTCCCCCAAAGACACACACACACACACACACGCACACAATCGGCAGAAAAAAGAGAATCAGTATCATTTTTTTTTCTCGCCCCTGGACATTT